CCCCCCCCCCCCACTCTGGGAAAGGAGCTTTGCCTGTGGGCTCAGGACTGGCTCCCCTGGGGAGGGGGCGCAGGGGTCCACAGGACGGCACTCGGGCTGGAGCTGGTGACAGCAGGGAGGGGGAGGGGCCTGGGCTCTCCCAGGGCTAGTTTTATCTGCCTGAGACTGCGCCCATTAGGGGAGATCTGGGGAGGGCAGGAACACAGGACAAAGGGGATTCCTACCGTGATGATCCGGTGCGACCAGCCATTGAAGCCCAGGTAGTAATTGGCCAATTCCTTGCACTTGTAACCCCTCAGAGCATGGCCTTGCTGCTGAAAGACCTTCTGCCTGGTGCAAATGCAAACCTGCCCGGAAGAGCAAGGGCGACACGAGGCTGCTTTGCAGGCAGGGAGCTGTGCGTACTCCCGGGAGGCGCTCTTCCTGCGCCGTACGACCGGACGCAGAGCGCTCCAGGGTCCCACAGCCTTGAGAGCCCCGGGTTCCCCAGTCCCTGTCCTCCTCAGAGGCAGCAGCGGTTCTGGGACATGGCAAGTGGTGCCTTGCTACTGCGGGCCAAGGCCTGCAGTCCCCCCATGGAAGCACTGGTTCCGAGAGGAGCAGTAGTGGCGTTAGCGTAACAGACGCCCCTTGAGAGAGAACAGAAGTCAAGGGAATCGTTTACTGCTGATCTGGGCAGGGGAGCAAGCCCCACAACATGCCTTCCGGGTTCAGGGCTTCCAGGATCACGAGCCCTCCCCTCAAACGGACAAGACACTACAGCCACTTCTGTTCCCCCGGGCCAGCGCCACCCTGGGCCCTGACGCAGACCTCCCAAGGCCCCCGCCTACGGCCTGCCCCAGCCTTCCAGACACACCTCTCACCAGCCACGCGAAGGAATTCAGTAGCAGTCTGCTGGGTGCACGTCCGAAGGGACCAGGTGGCCTTGCTTACTAACGACACACAACACGCAGCAGCTAGCTCCACGTGCGCGCGCCGCTGGGTCAGAGGCCTCAAAGCCAAAGGGATTGCTAGGTCGCCAATTGCGACTGGACCTCTCCTTGAAGGGTCCATCATATGGCAATCCCGGGGGCTGCGGGTGGCTCCGTTCCCAGGCAGCCAGGGGAGCTGGCCCTGCTTTCACTCTTACCTTGAGGGGAGAGCTCTGAAATAATCCCTGCCCGTTGCACGCTCGCTGGGCCCGGCTGGCGTCTCTAGCCGAGTAGAACTTGACCAAGGCATAATACCCAGGCCCCGCGACGGCAGCGCTTCTGTGCACCCGAAGGGAATAGAGCAGCCCAAAGGCGGAGAGCGCTGAAAACAGGGAATGCTGCAGAGAGCAAAGGGCGGCGCTCAGGACACTGAGGCTCAGCACGGGACCCTCATTGCCACAGGGCAGCACTTCTCCCACCAGCACCCCCCTCACGGCACCAAGCGCCTCGGGCGTGAATTAACTGGAGCGGGCGGGCGAGGCGCTGACGCCAGAGAAATCCGGGACGTGGCAGCGGGGCGAGAACCGGCACCC